ACAGGGTATCCAGTTTCGGCAGGACGGTAGCCGAGTCTGGGATTCCAGTGATCATCTGATCGTGAGCATGTCCGCAGGTGAGGAATTCACACTATGCAATTCCCTTCCACAATCTTGCTTAAACTGGTAGGGACACGGAGATTTTGATGGGCACCTCTATCTTGCCTATATTTTGTCATTCGCGTTAACGCTCTGTGAAGGAGATTATCGAACCTAGGTGGCCTCACAAGAAAGCCTTCCTCATGAGAGAAACTAGCTATTAATCGCCACCAACCACGCGTGCCGGTATTAGGCGAAAAAAACTGAAAGTCAACCTGGGCAGATGATGGTGTGTTTCAGATTGTCCACCTGCAACTGGTACTTACCGCCTTTTTGCTATTGCTGCTGCTGGTGCTAATAATATCAATGCTGAAAACATCCGAGTTGTTCTTATAGTTATGATAGTAACAATCACGACAGAAAAGCTGGCATCGATGACGACTGGGACAAGGATACTGACAATGGTGATGATGATAATAATAATAATATATGCAAAAACATGTATTACAAGTATACCGCCAAGAAAGCCAATGGTCAATAATTCAGTTATCACTACGATAGTGACGTGTGCGCTTCTTATAATGTTTTTTACAGGATGCAATTATGACTGAAACGTGATAATGATAGCAATGGTTGTAATTATGATGATGCCGATGACGATGGTGGTGATGGTGATGCTGATTATTGGTATCGTTATTATGCGTACCTTTTATCGTGGTCACCACCTGCATGCAGACACCAGTGGGCGGAGTCTGGGAGACAGATCCGGCGAAACGGAGAACGCCACCACCACCTCCGCCGCCATTACTGCGTGCACAGACGTCGCTCTGACAGCAACGAGTAACCCTCGGCGGATGGCAGTCCGCATCCGTGACACACACCTGTTGGCAGGACTCGGGCCAGCTGGAGGGCAGTGGGCAAACGGCCTGTTTGGAGCCCGCCAGAATCGCCGCCGTCTCCAAATACTCCTCTCTGGCGAAAGAACAGGCATCCAGACAGGTCTGGCGCTGCAGTTCGGGCGGACTGTTGGGAAAGGCATCCGCGTGTTCTTCCTAAAACCAAAGCGCAGACATGTCACATGATCAGAAAGTCTAGAATCGCTCTGAATATGGCCAAACGCGACGCCAGTGCTAATTTCCCCTCGACGCTAAAAGGAGCTGATGCAAGTTGAGGGGGGGAGACAAGATTAGCATATAAATGAATTTTTTCTGGACATTAAAGCAAACCAGGCGAGGAAGGATGAAAACGTACGACAAATCGTGCGCAGGACTCATCACAGGTTGTTGTGTTGTGTCGGGGCCATCGACACACTTCGAGACACTAAAAGGGAAGAAATTGAAATATTAGTAAACAATGAGGAGCTGTCTATTTTTTTTCTAGCTAGTGTAACCCTTCTGCATACTCTGCATACTCTTGCCCAAGTAAATTGGGCAGGAGTTTCCTTGGTAGTGGTTTCGGATACAGCAAGCCGTAGGTTTTTGTCATACGCTAACCGTGAGAATGGGGGTTTAATGAGTTGGTAAAACCTAGATTTTGTGAAAATAAGTAAAAAAAAAGTCGTAAAATTTTGCTGAAATAATTTAATGCCTGATGCCTAATGGCTATATGTCGACGGCGTTGGGCGCTTAACTCGAAATAAGGCGCGAAAAACAAATCGAGGTCGAATTGAGCTCGAA